TCAGAGAAATTTTCTAGCAACAGTATCTTTGTGGAAAGTCACAGAGCTTTTCATGAAATTCAAGTTATGATTCTAATATCGAGCACAAAAGGAGAACCCTAGGTTCGACGCGTGTTTTAAAGCCTTTGGCAGTCCCAGAAATTTTCCAGCGACTGTAAAAATACACGCGTTAGCTGCGCGAGACTTTGGCGGATCCTGATCCAACCAAAGGATATTCACACATTCGCGGGCGCATAAAGGGAGCCGATTTCCGGCTGGAATTCACTCCAGGAGTTCCAGCAACGTGGGAGTTTAGCAGATTAGCAGAAACTTTTCTCCTCTAACTTTGAGCCTGCGGCTCGAGGCACAGGGAAGAACTCGCGGCTCGGCGATTTATTTCGCGCAGAGCGTCCGACGAATGGAAGAAATTGAACGTCCAATTCTCCTCCGCGGTTCAGCCGTCCACTCGTTACGCTAAAACGCGGCTTACTTGTATCGTTAATTGGGTTAAAGAGCACGCGTCGTTAATTAATAGTAGAACGTAACGAGCGGCTGCGTGTCTGGCCAGCCGCGGGAAAACGAAACGCTCCGGGAAATTAAATGACGCAAAAGGGAAAAGAGGCTCTCGGTTGGGCGGGCCACTAGACTGGTTCCGCAAAGTGCTGTCCCGTGGGAAATTATAAATAGAAGGTAATACTCGTGTCTGCCGAGCAGCGGTCTGGCATCGCGGCAACTAATATAAATAGTTAAACTCGCCTCACAATTTGTACATCGAAGTCATCGTGCAGTTTTCGAGCCACTTCCCTTTATGGATACTTCGGATACGACCATCTGATACTTCCAAGCCCCGTATACTCGAACCAACAAACTTTTCTTGCGAGGCAAACCTCCAAAATATAGGGTATCCTCAACACTTTTCAGGAAAAAAAATAAATATTTCGATTCAAGTTTGAAATTTCTCGTCCATTTACGTATGTATTAATAATCTTGACGCAGTTAATTGGCCCGACTCGCAACTTTGGCTTGCAACTGCTCGCGTAGAAAGACCTCTCGCAGTCGAAGCAATTATAATACTCGATTTACGCCATTTGACGCTATTGTCCATTTCGTGGAACCCGATTCTCTGAAGTTTAATTGCTGAATTACAGGATACTGAACTCGAGCGTAAATTCAACGAAGTTGCTGTAATGATTCAGCTTCGTTGTGTCACGAAATAATAGGCAATTATATGCCTGGTCAACAATCTGGTAATAATGTTTTCCTAGCGCTAATATCAATAGCGACAACAACGGATTCGATGCGCGAGTGACGTAATAAATATTTCCAGATGCGTTTATCACGAGGTTACGTAGCAACGTGTAATTGGGTTAATAAGGGTACGCGATTTGTTAATTTTATTGTAATTATTCGATTCTAAAATGTGCATCGCGTTGCGCCATAGCGTTGAGAATATTTCGCAGCGTCGGGTATGGGAATTCCCGGTGAAAATGGCGGGATGATAGATCCACTGCCACGGAAAAAATAACACCGGGAAGAAAGATGCGAAAAGTATGTAGAAACAAGTTGCCGGATCGGAAGGAAACATTGCAGCGAAAGAATCCAGGTGCCCGCCGATGGAAAAAGAAACAAAGTCGTAAAGAACGCGGTAAAATCTCGCTACGCGGGAAAAAGGTGGATAATGGGGGTCGTTCTTTCTCGAGATTCTGCGGATGGAACCGGAAGGAATCTGTGAATTCGGGAGCTGAGCGCCAAGAGGGAGCGAAACGAACGAGCAGACGTATCCTGGGCGCGCGAAGATCAGATTTACAAGGCCAGGGTGGATATACATCTCTGCCACAGCTTCTGACCGTAGTGTATTCCAAGTTAGGGGGATTAGTCCCTCGGAAGGGGGGCGCGAATGATAATCTTTGATACAGAAAGACGTGGATAACTTGAATATATCTTTTTGGTAACACAAAATTGAACAACCGTCGAGATCTATATTTTTTATATTATTATATTATTATAATTTTGAGAATAACTCTGTTACGACTTATCTAGAGCCCAAAATTATGTATTCTGTAAGGGTTGGTAAGGGTTTTCCTGTTCCTGAGTCCCGTAATCTGAAGAAATGTATCTTAATGCGAATTGCATTAAGCAGAATCATTCGACGATCCCTTTAACTTCCAGCTGCAGGAATTTCTCGATCCTCTTTCCCCCGTAAGCCTAGAAAATCGATCCCAGTAGCGACGAAAACGTATCTGGATGCAAGTTACCGAAGAGGAAGACAATTATCACTTTAAAAGTTACGTTCGACGTCGAGACGGTACCGAATTTAAACGGACTGTGCTCCGTTGTTTACGAACTTTCGAGCTTTTGCTGAAACAGCTGTTTGTTTGTACATACTTAAAACTACAACGATGGAACTCTTTGGACGCGTGTGTACAAAGTATTCGATGAAGAAGTTCCGCAGTAGCAGGAATAAAAATTGAAAATTGTATATTCTTTATATACATTTTCGATTCCACCCGAAGTTACAAGTTTTATTTTTTAAGATTCACGATTTCCCGGGTATCTTCCGCTTGGAAAACTCCACCTGCGAATGGAGAGGAAATGTAATTTATCACTGGTCACCCCAGTACGACAATAGGGAAAACAAATACATCGAAGAACTACGATCGAGACTTCGACGAGCTTTCGACGAAAGCTTTGTAGTCCGGTATATTTCTGTAGCGGTTCGATCAAAGTGCGGAGATGATAAAATTTCGTGTTTCGTTCTCGACTGCTAAAAGGAACCGGTAAATTCGATGCCGGGTCCATTGTCTTGCGCTTCGAGTTTCGCGTCGGAGAACGCCGGAAGAGGAATATCTATCGAGTTTCTGTGCCTCGACGGAGCTTCGCAATTTCTTCTCGGACATTTGAAAACTGTCGAAAAAGCTACGGGCGGAAACGGTCGCGTTTCTAGTGCTGAAGTCCGCTAATGAAATTTGCGAGTTCCACGGGACATGATTAAGCAGCGCGTGGGCGGGGTTAAGCGACCATCGTGACTCAATTTGCGCGCCGTTCCGCGCGGAAAGAGTGCGTTCGCGAACGATGCAAATTACTGGACAGTCGACGAAAAGAAACGGAACTACGGTCGATTAAACGAGATTGAAACGGAATTTTCTTGGTAAGAATTCTTCGACTTGTTTACCTTCTTCAGGATGCCGAAAGCACAAGCTTATTAATTTATCGCGACACGAAAAATAGCCACAACGATATACTATATCTCATCTTCTTTCCTTTCAACAACTTAAATCTGGTGTCCCGATTGTTTTCTTCCCCCAACTTTTTTACTTAAAGTACAATCAGATCGTTGTATTCCATTTTCCGTGGAAACCATGCAGAATTTTTAGTCCTTTAATACCTGGCTCAACGAAAAAGAGATTAATACAGTAAGCAGGACGGTACTCATAACCGGGAAGCATTCGAAACAAAGTTTTACTTTGGTCATTACATTCTGGGCGCTGTCCAACGATATGGTTTAAGTCTTGAGACTTTGTTTCGCGGTGGCAAGCAACGGGGATGAATTTAAAGGGGTCGTTTAAGCCTCCGAATCCTATCTGGCGTTCTCTGCCATGCCCCTTCGCCGCGAAACGAATAACTCGTAAATAAAATTCCGCTGCACCAAATACGTATTGATAAATTACATAAGGATAAAGCGTTGACTGCTAATTACGAGCGTCGCTATTAGCCAACGATTTATCACGTAATGTCCCCTGCAAATAATGGATGATGGATGATCGGAAGAAGATTAAAAATCAAAATTCGTTAAAGAACAGAATTAATGATAAAACGACCCCCCAGTGTTTCAAAAACCACAGGATCGCAGTAGAACGGAATTAAAAAATGGCTGAACCGACCCGAAAACCTCGTAAAACCGCATGGAAAATCGCGGAGAATGACACGGGGGATCGTTGTGCCGTTTTCGTGCAACGATGCCATAATTTCGACGCGGGATAACGAGTCCGGGTTCACGAGCTCGCTGTCTCCTCGAGAAAACCAGGCAAATCCACGAGAAAATTCATTTACTGGGCTGGACCGAACCCGATTTCGTTTGTTCGTCGACCAACGTCAAACTCGAATTGCCGCGCGTTGACGGCGCGGCGGTCAGGGAAAAATTGGGGGAAATGGAAACGGTAGGTTGCACCGAAAGCTGACCGTAACCAAACGAGATCGACGAAGAGAATACGCAGCTTCCATTGCCCTCTTGATTCGATTGCCTTCTACTATTTTCCGGCGAATTATTTCTGAAGTCTCCGCTCGTTCTACCGGACGGTTGTCAAAGAAGACATCACGAATCCAATTTCCAAGGGGATTACTGTCCACGTACCTTTCCGTGCGTTTCTATCTGCTAGTTCATTGCTGGCTTCTAAAGCAAACACTTTGAACTATGCGCTTATAAAATGCTCGCGCTTCCGTGGACCAGAAATTATTGAAAAATATGTGGAATAGAAATTTCTGTAATTCTTTCGAAAAACACGGTAGAGGAAACCAATATTGTATGAGCTTTTATTGTAAAACTTCCGTTTCGACTGTTACGAACTTTTTTAAAAAAATCCCAAAACAATGCTGGGAAACGTGAAAAAAATAATCATTGTGTAAGTTCCTTTAAATTCCCGGTTTTTCGATATTAAACGAATCGTACTAATTAATTCGCGCGCCCATCTCCCTTCTGCGAGTCAAAATGATCGAAACATTGAAATTTCTTCCATGGAAATTTGCAATATAAAAATTTGCTGCGATTTCAAACGACCAGTAACCAGCACGGTACTGTCCAGCAATTTTTTTTCAGTTTAGATTGCCCCCTGCGTTCGTCGGTCACGAAAACGTTAACAACGGTTCAGCCAATTATTCTCTACCGTCTCCGACATTAATTCTAACGCTCTATCGTGGTCTAAAATCGAAAAAAAATGTTTAAGTACTTTTTGGACGAACCGTGAATTCTCCAATTATCGATGTCTCGAGCAACGAGTGACCCCAAGCGTTAATTAATGTTTCAGTCACTGGGACGGCCGCGGAAGCCACACGCGAGACGAAGGAGTCACTGTGGACTACGTACGACGCACGACGGACCAGCAGATCCATCCCTTGGTCGTCCTCGAGCACGGATCGTAACACGGGAGTGACCAGATCCGTCGGAAAGTTCCGTCAGACGACTTCCTGGCACGCGGAGAGCTCGAGTCCGAGCTCGAGGGAACGGGTCGCCATCGAGCTGCTAGAGCTGGTCAGTGAAAGTCCGGAAGAGGAGGAGGAGGTGGAGATCGAGATGCAGGGCATCGAGACGCTGTCGGGACAAGTGAAAATCACGTTGGAAAATTCGACCGTGTCGTCGTGGAGCACGCCGGACACTAGGCAGAAGACAAATCCGTCCGCTGGCCGGACGTTTATCCGATCAACGACAGACCGATCGAGGCTCCAGGACGACGATCTCTCTTCCAAAAGCCTTGACAACGTAAGTCGTGACGCGTCACTTTTTATTCAACGTACCGTGGAAATTAATAGAACGACCGTGTTTTCGTAATATTCTGCCGGAATCGTGGAAGCACCGGCTAACGAGAACGCTCTTCGATACGATTTCTTTTAATTATTTATCCGTTCGTTAAAAAGTATTGGTCTCCGATGGAGCATTATTGGTACTGAATAATGAAACATCGAATTGATTTCGTTTTTTATTAATTACTGCACCTTGGATGGGAGATCGAACAATGTTTTTCATTTTGCTTGTTCGTTGCTGGATGGCCGCGGATAAAATTGTTTATTAATAATTTAATAAAAACTTCGAAACGTAATTATTCCTTGAAGGGACGTTATTTCACTTTGCGCGAAAGGTTTCCGAGAATATTTTTTTGTAATAATTTTGTTCCCGGAAATGTTAACGTTATTGAAACGGAAAGTTATGCTCGTACAAACGGGCATGTAAATCAATATTAATAACAAGCGCTTATTAAATTTGTGTGCCCAGTCGAGAATCGAATCATGTTCGTACTGTTGGAAATGAAAATTTCCATAATGTCCTATTCGAACATGAAATCTGTTGCATAGTAAAACTATTATTGTATGCAAATGCAGCTTAAATCTTGCTCATAACGTGTCCCATACTAAGTCCTGCTAAATCGTGTAATAACTTTCTAATACAGTTCGAAGTATTTCAAGTTCACTTAATTAAATTATTACCAGGCAATTTTCCTACAATTTACAATATTCATTTGCGTTCCAACGTAAATTAAATTTTACTTGTTAGAGAAAACAGAGGGCGTTTTCTTTTAGAGGACATGTCAGTTTACATTTAGGAGATCGGAGATTCAGTCACGTTCGACCGAGCCATCGAACAACCGAAAGGTTTCCGAGCTGACACAGTCGATCTACGACCGTGACGAGTACGACAACAATAACAGAGCCGACTGAGCCAAGTATTTTGCGCAGTTTCGCTGGTTAAATCTCCATGGAATAAAATCAGAAAGAGAAGTGTGATTATAATAATTCAATTTTAAATTTCCAACTTACAAGAACTAAAACTGTTAAATAGAAATTTAATACCGTTCAAATATTTCCTACTCGTATTCGAAAACAACTCCGAAGGCTGCCTTATTTTTCATCCCCCGTCGTTCTGTCGCAACCCCTTAACGCAGCGATAACGAACGATCGATATTCGATAATCGAACGCGAATGGATTAATGGAGTACCCGGATGTCAATATTCGAGACTTAATTGCGCGGATAGAGCAAAAGAAGCTCAGTCGGAGTGATTCACAACAGCGAGCAGCAACACAATAATAGTTGCAGTAGATTTCCCGCGTTCCCAATAATTTCGTAGAAGGCCGATACCTATAATTTAACGGTATCGCGACACCGGTTGCCCAGAAGCGTCGTTGGGATCATTTAATTAACGGCCCGACACCTGTGTATCGCTGGATTATTGCTCATCGATCGTATAAATTCTCGATCGTGACGGGCTGAAGTTAATACGCAACGGATTTAATGTTACGCTGAGGTACAGGATACGCGAATTTTCGGGGAGAAATAAAACGCAGATTTCGCCCGTTAACTATCACGAGAATTTCAATTGTGTGCAGATAGTGGCGTCGAACGAGAATCGGTTGCCGTACAAGATCTCGTCGCAGGAACCAGGCGACGTATCCACGACGCCGACTACGTTCGTTCTGAGCGACGTCGTACGACGACAGATGAGGCACGTTCCAGACGTATGCGACAAGTTCACCGTCGGGGATGAGGCCAAGCAGGAATTTTACAGCCCCAACTATCCGGACAACTATCCAAACCTCACCGAGTGCGTCAAAGTTCTGGAAGGTGAGCGAACTCTGTATCTCTACGTACGAAAACCAACGATCAGAACGTGGAAACTCCGGAGCATTGTAAATTCTTCGGTCGTTGGTGCAATACCGAAACGTCGTTGATGGCGTTAAATGCAAAAAATCTTCAGCTCATTTAATCTGTGAGCTCGAAGTGGATTTAAACGTCATTGCCTTCGTACTCTATAAATAAACGAGCGTTAAGATTTAAAATCACTTCGAATCCAGCTAAACGATACGAGAGGAGTAAAAAGGCAAGGGCGCTTCGATTCTGATAGAAAAATCTTGGCGCAAATCGGTGGGATGTTCCAAGGAGAATAAAGAATTTCAACGGGAAATCCGGGATTTCGGGGAGGAGAAAAGTCCTCGGACCGATTCAGTGATTCCCCGTTCTTTGTAACGTATCCAAACGAACGGAACGAACGTTTAAAAAAGGCACGACGGAGACGTGCCATTCCGCTGCCATTTGTTAATACGATGGCTGTCGTGTCACGCGAACGAGGGCGACGCGTAAAGTCCACAGAGGGGATCACTCGAACACGGAGGACGCTCATATTTTATAATGCCACGAATGATATTGCTGCATACTTCCACCAGGATATGGGAATATGAATAACGTGACGATAATATAGAAAATCGTAAACATGATTTATCGACAAAATTAATTAGCTGTCCGCGCCCGCGTCGAGTTCAAAATTGTTTCTCTCGAAAACGAAGCCCCCGCGTTCTCGATTTATTTTTTCCATCGCGATTGCAAAGTCACCCCCTGTATCGTAGGTGGTAAATCCCCCCCGAAGGAACGAAATTTCGCTTATCTATTTAACACGCGGAATTAATTCGACTCTGACGGGCTCTGCGGAATGTCGCAACTCGTAGTTGATATTCCAGTCGCTTCGTATGTACAAGTTAGTCGTAACTTTCCGACGGGAACTCGGCCGAACTTCGAAAAGGGTAGCGCGTCGGAGTGATTGATACACCCCAGTGGTTGCGTTCGGTCTCGACTAGGATCGAGCAGCCTGTATAAATCCTCCTGCTCGCCGATACAATGCATCGGTGCACGTCACCGGGCCGAAAGAAACGCATAAGTTTCTCTCCGTGGACAAACATCCCCCCGAATTTATAATAAACCATTATACGTCGTGTCGTGCCGTCGTTTCCGATTTAACAACACGATTCTATCGCATTTTTTATATATTTTACGTCCCCGACTATCTTACGGTGACACCTCGATAGGGATTAATCGCTGCAAAGCACAAAGGGTTCGCCAAATTAATTAATAAAGAGAACAGAACATTTTGTGTGTCTACTTATCGGTTGGGGGAATATGATGTTTCTCTATGGATAGTGCGAATTCGTCTAATTGAAACTTGACGGAAGTTAATTAAGTTCAACAGGTACCTCGGAGGACTTCGAAAGACAAATTCAGCAGAAGTCATTTTGAAGTTAGATTGGCTACCACTCGTGTAACTGAATTTCTTGCTACCCGTAGAACCGCCAATATTCAACTGGAATCGTTCTACCGGTCGAATGATTTATTTATTCGGATAAATTATATCCTAGCACGGTTCTTCTATAAGAAGTTTTAATATTTCATTCGCTTTTGTATCGATCATATTACAATGCGAGCAATCCCATCGCTTCGCGATTGAATCTATCGACTGGAAATGAAATTGTGAGAAGGAATAATCTACAATAATTACACGGACCTTTTTTATTGGATTGAACTAGAAATAAGTAGAAAGGTCTGAGCGAAACGTTAAACCGTGCCAGTCAAGTTATTTTTTAGTAGATTTATTTATAGTGAACGAGTCGCGCGTTAAACGGGCACAGAGAATTAATAACGATCGCTGACTGGGTGTTTCTTGGACCGATTGGTCGTAAAGGGTAGCACATTACGATTCGCGAGGAGCAAACAACCGTCTCCGTGCTCGTTCCTAGTCGCTTCCCGCATACAAAGCTGCTCCCTTTTTCTGCACTCAGAATTCCCAGCGGCGCGAGAAGAGTAATTGCATAAAACGTCGACGATCGGCGCTCGGGGCGATAAATCATGATATTCCGCGCACTCTTGCCCTGACCATGGTCGCACCAACGAGATGCTTCGATAACGAATCGATAAATCTAGAAAGAGGGCCGTTTTCAAATGTCGCCCAGAGAATCGTTCGAAAGGGCTCGACTGCACATCAATGCACTCGATATCGCGCTGTCATTGATAAAAATCGTAAGATACCCATCGACGATCGGTCAACCAACGTATAAAATATCAGCCGGATTAGCCTTTATCCGAAATCACTGCTTGGATTAACAAGATTTTATTCGATTCGCGAGATCTAACGAAATATAAATAATCGACTTTGTTCCCTGTGATTTTATTCTATTCCTGGAATTATATACATATGTTCCAGTAGAGTCGAAGAAAAACGCTTCACGTTTTATTGAGAAAACTGTTCTTTTTACAGAGAACCAAAGGATTATCTGCTTTACACGCTGTTATAGTCAACTTTAAAGCAATTTCTCTGCAACTATCAAGCAATCGTCTCTTTACGACTCCTTTTTTTACTTCCACTTCCGTCAACTGAATTGCGACGCCAAGGGACCACGATCCATTTATTCCCTTGTCTGGTTGCAAGAAGGAAAGCTGGTGATATTGTTGCAGAATATTCCCCGCTGCTAGTACAGGGCATATTAAATGTTCTCGTATCCAACGGTAGAAATTTTTGGCCGACAAATTCAAAACCGCGAAAGAAAAACGAGAGTTCGTATTTTACTTTTGAAGTTCGTGCACGCGTGGGCGAGCTTTTTGTCCCGAAATTCGTTTCTGCTTTTTGTCGGGGGACACAGAAAAATTCAACGGTCTCCGATTTAAATGAAATACAACGACGATAATAAATCTGATTCTTTTCTTTAGAAATTCACGCTTGGAGACTGGCGAGAGAAAAACGAGACGCGTGTCTGCCGAGAAACGCTCTCTTTTTAGCCGCTCCGAACGTCTCGAAACGCAACGGATTGAGCTAACGAGGGCAGTAGGGTCGTGTTCGAAATTGAGTCAGGGTCGACGAGCCGCAGACCGTGTACACCGAATCTTCTTCTGATGTACCAAAATAGTATCCCACGGTGATTGCTGGTCCTCGGCCGAGTTTTGGAAACGATAGGCTCGACGCAGACGCGTCTGATCCAACCGTAAAACTTCATAAGGCGAACACACCCAGCTGTTAACGATTCCAGAACACGTGATCCCAAAAATTCGTACATCGTTTCACGTTCTCGCAGAACGACCATAGAATTGTTCCTTCGTCGCCATAAATTGCTAAAATTTCCTAAATACGCTATGCATACAATTTTATTAGATCTAGAGCTTCATATGTCTTTCTATCTTTTTCTCTGGAACATGTAGTGGAGCGTGTATATATCAAGGTACTTTTATATCAAAATCGTGTTGCTAGTCGCAAGTAGAAATTCGTGGAACGATGTAAGATGGGGAGAGAATCGTGGAAAAATTGTAGAACGAGGTTTCGTCATCTCGAAGGGATAGACTAGCGTTGTAGTTCCCCTCGATAGAGCCGAAGTGGCACAATTTAATATAAATATCGCGACGCAACATCGTAAACCGGCGGTATTGGATGTCGCGGTTGAATAAATTCGAACCGAATCCCTTGTAAATCATACGCAGCCGGTATCGATGTTAGCCGACGTGCCTTATTTCCTTTTCGAGCGTCTCACTCGGGTTACCCGGTATTGCTTCGGATTTGCATGGGGAAGTTCGTCGTGGACTATCGAAGGCGGAGAACACAGCCGGTTAACTCAGTGGTTCTCAACATCTGCTGGCTCACGGCCCACTTTCAAGCCCTATTTACCTCTGTTAACTGGTAAAAATCATAATAATTGTATATTTATAACATGTACTTTTCAACCCCCTAACATGTATTTGTCGACTCACAATTTTTTCACTTGTCACGTAGAAAGTTCCTATCGAATTTTCAAGAGACAGTATACAAATTGCCAGTACTTTCCGTGGCTAATTATAAGATGTTTAATCCCCCCAGGAAATGTAGGGTGAGTCACGGAGGGATGTGGTCCCATCGAGAGAACCACTGGATTAAACCGTCGCGACGTGCACCGAATACATTTAGGGATGTACTTCGCTGATAATATTCTTTCCTACGTTCGTCTCGGACAGCTGATAAGGACGCAAGAAACTGCAATTGGCTTCCAACTGATAACAAAGTGTGTGCTTCGCCTCAAATCGGCTGCTTAACGTTTTGTATAAAGAGGACTATACCGTAGAACCCGAAACGACCAACGAAATAGAATTCGAGCGTTAGGTGAAACGTTTAGTGGCTATATTTGATCAAGCAGGATGAAATTATCTGGAGGCAAGGTTTTTTGGGGGGAAACTGATCGATGGGAAGGCACATTGTGGGTGGTCTTTACCGGCATTTCGGTTCAAGGACAAGCGCAGTGTCCTGCCGCAATTAATGGCTTCCCTTGCAGAGACTCTCGGCCTTAGAGTATTTCGATGTTCCACGAAACACGGAGACGGCAGAGGGGCGGTCGTCCTTGATTTACGTGGGATCGTATTAAACGGTTCTTTGATGGCCCCTTACTTCCTAAGTGGTTGATAACTTGATTTGCTCGTCCACTTTGGAACCGAGCCACGACTTCCTCCTGTCTCCGACGGCTCTGAAGAGCCTTTTCTCCCCGAGGTCTCTGTCGCAATTCTTTTTTTCCACCTTTCGAATCTCCGTGGATTGGCCCCGAGTACAGAAAGTATTAGCCCTCCTGACGAGGAGCCGGATAGATCTCTTCACCCGACAACCTGGGACCATCCTGATCCCATTATTCTTCTTTAATCATAATAGTCGTGCAAATATTACTTCAACCCTTGCTCATTGACACCGATGTAAAGAATATTCCAAAAGCAAGTAAATTCCTCGTGCAAAAATAAAACGAAAAGTCTTTTACCATTTTCCAATCCGAGACTTTGTCAACGAGATATAAGCA